TGTATTAAGTTTTCTAAGTCTTTCCACAATTTAGCTTTAGAACATACATCTAAATCTATTTGAGGAGCATAAACACTTATAATATTAAAAATCTTTGTATCAATGATAATCTTCAGGGCTATAATTCTGGCTATAATTCTTTAAGGGCTATAATTCTATCTTCAACTCTAGTAATTTTTACAACATTATCTTTCAAACTCTTATTTATAATAACACCTACACCATTTCTAGTGGTAGATTATTTTTAATCAGTTTATCAACATATTCTTCAACAAGCTGCAGCTGCCCCAAACAGACGTTTAATGTGCATTGAATTGGGATGATAATTATGTTTTTTCTCCAACTCATTTAGTTTCTTGAATTATCTTGATATTTATCTCTTTCAAACTCTTATTTATAATAACACCTACACCATTTCTAGTGCGACTCTTATCAGAATACCAAAGTTTAAAACCTAATTGATCAATCTCTTTAGACTTTTCTCCAACTCATTTAGTTTCTTGAATACGTAAGATATGAATTTTTCTATGGATCATAATATTAACTAATTTCATTAATTTACCATTGAGAATACTTATATTCCAAGATACTATCATAATATTAGTTTTATTAGTTTCATGGATTAACTTCGTTACCCGCATCCGTACGTAATGTGGGAACCCTTGTTTATTTGATACTACACCCAGACGTCGGTGTAGCGGCCATTGCGCACATTTCATTATATTCAGGCCATACAACGCACCGCTTCTAGGGGACGCTCTAGCACTTACACAATGACCAAAATGATTCTTGTCATGATTTTTTTTTATAAGTTTTACGCTAGCTGTCGACTACCTAACGCAACCCTCTACTTTTCATATTCGGGCTTCTGATTGACAATTACAATGCGTCCCTTAGAATTCAATATGACTATACTTCTAATTTAAAATAAATTATTAACAATAATGAAATCATAGGTTAAAACAAAATTCAATATGACTCTTTTTTTTTCATTAGGCACTCAGACCGCCTCCGTGCTTGACTCAATGCTTCTGAAGTCCGACTTAGGCAATCCAGGGCAAGCTGGTGTAGGGAGGGATGATAGAGGTGCTTGGATTACATTCTGATGGAAAGGATTGGAATGAAACTACTATAAGCACTAGAAATACTTCTAAAATTTTCTACAACTCTATCAACATATCCATCTAATTCTTTTTCAATGAAATTTTTTATTTTCATATGATATTTTTGTATTAATTCTTCTAGGTCATTCAATATTTTTATTTTCAACATATATCCACACATATTTAGGGAACATAAATACTTATAACATTAAGAATCATAGTATCAACAATAATCTTTAGTTTTATAATATCTCTAATTCTATTAGTTTTTATAACATTATCTTCCAAATTTTTATCTATAATTACACGCACCATTTCTAGCATGACTCTTGCCTAAATATTGAAATTAAAGACATAAGCTATAAATCTATTTAGCATTTTCTCAAACCAATTTAGTTTCTTGAATGCATAAAGTATTTATTTTCCTATGTATCTGATACGATCCGACCTCAAAATCGACACGCTTTTTCAGAAAGATTAGGACAAACACAATATTTCTTCAATAATTCAGGCAGCTCAACAAGAGAACAAAGATGAGCATCTACGATTCGAGAGACATACAATCTCTCCCAATTCTTACAATTCGAGAGGTTGGTAATCTCTTCTAAAACCTAAACCTAAGACTCACAACTCAATCTCAAGCATAAAAACCTAACCCTAAACATAATTAGCTTATTTATACTCGATAATAATAAGGGTCAATTACACACAAACAACTCGAAACTTGCTATTTACAAATCAACCGCCCTCTTTCATCTTTTTTTTTTCAAAATCTCACTTAAATATCAAAATTCATGGTAAAGCCCTAATCCATATTTTTCATTTTTATGAAATTCTCAATAGTTTTGATTTTGACACACGTAAATACATCGGTTCGATTTTTCAAAAAAATCACTTCAGTGCTTAATTTATAAATATCAATGTTTCAGGTGATCTATATGTAATTATCCCTAATAATAATAATAATAATAATAATAATAATAACCTAAATGAACCTTAGGCATACAAAAGACAAACTTGTCTAGGCATAATATAACAATACCACCCCCTACTCCCCTCTCAAAAGACACCTTGTTCTTAATGTGGGGAAAAAGTAGACTCCTGCTTGATCAAGTCCAGCAACTTCCGTCTTACGTCGTTATCTGATAATCTTTTCCATTTAATCAGGGATTCATAGTGACTAACAGGAGTTTGAAATGTAGACTTATGCACATTCTTTGGATGAATTTGAATCAATTGGTGACTTGATTTTCATTAAATTTTAGAGAATATCACAGCCACAAACAACTCATCCCGTGGCTTACCGATCATCAGAATCTATCAACTCAATCTCACGTGTCTCTTCCATCTCTCTCCACTTCGGTTCTTGCTTGAAACTATAGCTCTCGATCCGCCTAAAGTTGTGACGCTCCCCTTTTGTCATGTGAATATTTTTTGTTGCTGCTGCTGGAATCCGTTACTGACTTCGTCTCTCGACCCCATGGCAGACGAAGCCAATTTGGTGTGAAAATCCATTATCTTCATCATTCCTTGCATTTCCTTTATGCTCTCAAATTGATCCTCTATTCGGTTCCCTATGGAAGAAAATATATACTCTATGGCGGCAAACCTTTCTTCCCTCCTAAATTTGATTTGACATATCTCTTCCTCAAATTTCTTTTCTAAATCATCTATTTTCTTAGCTAACATTATTCTTAGAAAATTTTTTGATCACAAAAAATGCAAGCACCTGCACTCAATTACAAGAATCGCGATGTTACCGCACGTGACGCGCCGCAATCCTATTGGTCGACTCGTAGCAAGATCAAGCTGCAACTCAATGTAAGCCGCAACCTTGTCGGCTCCCCATTAAGCTCTACTCCCACGGATCGAGTCGCGGTTAAGGCTTGTGGGTCTCTGTTTGTTGTGATCCCCAACGCTTCCCATTCGCGGGGTCTTGGAGCACTGTACAATGCGATCCTGTCGAAGATTCCTAGTAACCTCTTTCAAAAGATGGGAGCTTCATTCTCTGTTCACCACGATCGTGCGGCTTCTCAGCGGCTCTAATTGCGAATGTATTGTGATATACCACCACACCTCCGCTGCGATCCAATATTCATGATCACTTCGAGTCGTCTCTTTCACAGCAAGCTCCGTCCCTCTGCGATCCCTTCGTTTCCTTGCTAGCAACCCCTAAGCGCGACTGTATCACAGGGTTCCGTCACGAAGGAGTTTTGGATCTCAGTAAGCCTCGATCCTTTGCATTGAAGCCTTCCCAGTGCGCTTCGACCCTGTGGTGGTCTCCTTGCTAGCGATTGTATCGCGCGGTTCGATCTAAGGGATCTTGTCAACGCTTCTCTGCTATTTCTCACGCCTGCAACGACTTTTTCACACGCCTGCAACGATTCAATGGTGACCCCCAAAATCGTGCTCTGATACCAATTTGATACGATCCAACGTCAAAATTGTTCACTTTTCCAAAAAAATTAGGGCAAACACAATATTTCTTCAATAATTCAATCAATTCAACAAGAATACAAATATGAGCACCTAAGATTTGAGAGATAGGTGATCTCTCTCAATTACTGCAATTCGAGAGGTGGGAAATTTCTCTCAAAACCTAAATCTAACTCACAACTAAATCTCATGAATAAAACCTAACCCTAAGCATATTATGCCTATTTATACCCAATAATAATAATAATAATAAAATACTAAATTGCCCTTAGGCTTACAAGAGACAAACTTGCCCTTAGACTAGGCATAGGCATAATCTACTAATTTCATTAATTTACATTTGCGAGTATCTATATTCTAAGTTCTTATCCTAATACTAATTTTATAAACTAATTTTTTTGCCCTCATTAATTCATAATGTAGGAACCCTTTTTTATTTAATACTATACTTATGCGTTAGTCCAACGGTTCTCACACTTTTCACTGCGTTTTGATCATACAACACGTTGCTTTCAGGAGACACCATAGTATTTATAAAATTATTTAAAAAATTAATGTTATAATTTTTTGATAAAAAAATTTATGCTAGATGTCCACTTTCTAACGATTGTTGTTGTTGTATAAAGGTTTGTTGTTGTTGTTGTTGTTGTTGTTGTTATTGGCTTCAGCTATCTAACACAACTCCCCCTTTT